AGCTACCATGGAGATGTGTAGGGTATAGTTCCCCCTTTTAATTGACTTACCCCTTCACCTTTACTCCCACCCCCTAAAGTTGTGAGGTTAAGGAGATTAGAGATATGATGAACCAGAAAAAATGAGAGATTTTTTTTTTTCCTGGAAAGTTTTGGGGTTAAAAAAATTTTTTTTTAAATCATGATTTAAATTTTAAAAAGTTGGAATTTACTCATTCAGATAATTTCTAAAAATTATATAAAACAAATGTCTCAATATGAGACTTTCACAGTATTTAATCAGATATATATGAGATGAAGTAGTACAGAAAACTTCAATATCAAGGCTTTAGTGTTAGTGGCCTTTTTTGTTGTTTAGGACAAGCTTCCTCTTTCAGGAGATGGAAGAAATTAGTGTGTTATTTGTTTGAGTGCTTATTCTTGTTGACTTCTGATTTTGAGGTCGATGAGTAAGTGTTGCCTTCCTGAGGAGACCTCAGACATACACAACATTGTTTTCGGAGTTTATCACGAAATTGGATATCCTCTACAAGATCCATACGTGAGCTAAAACAGGGATGAGACGTGTGAAATGGATTCATGTCGTGGATACTCTCTCCCAAAGATTCAACAAGAAAGTGAGGAATAAAATTTTGAGACTGAATCTCTGTAGTGAAAGTTGTCAGGAGGGGAGGAATGTCTTTTTGGAGTTAGCTATAAAAAGCACATCTCTTTTGAAAGTAGCAGCTGAAAACCTTACTTCCCTGTAGAACCACCTGTTCTGGAGGGTGCCTTCTGAGTGACTCTGGCCAGCAAAATTGGCATCTGATTTTTTTTTTGCTATATATTCCTCACAGTTAGTATAGATAAAACATTGTTTCCAATACTCTGAATTTTTCTCTTTTTTAAACTATGGAAGAAAGAAAAGTGACTTTATTAAGATGGAGAATGTTTTCTAAATCATGTTGCTGCAGATCACTAGAATCCAAGGTTACACATAAAAGGGAAATAAAGATAAAATTGCTGATATGGGCTACACACATAGCTATTGATGGTAAGATTATGTTTTTGCCTACGAATATGAACCAGAATTCTGCTACACATATTGTCCTTAAAATATGGCTCCATTTTTCCATTTTCAGTAACATGTGAGTGAATATAATTTTTGTTTGGAAATGGTCTCATTGAATCAGGAAATAAAATCCCATGTTAAAAAGGTAAAGAAGCTTGTTTTAATCTGCACAAACTTTTTGTTTCCAGACAATAAAATGAGGTGTCAATGGAGAAATTACTAATCGGGATAATTTTGAAAATGAGACTGATTAGATAAAGCTCCACATGCCAAAATTGTACTGAGTAATATTTTTCTTCTGTCTCTCTAAATCCCTATTTTGAAAATGAGTACCTTTTGTATCTTAGTACAGGGAAGTACACTAAATCAATAAAGATGAGTTTTCTTTGTTTTACTTCAATGTTGATAGTTTCTACTATTCTTTTTAAAATTTTATTTAAGTTTAGTTAATATACAATATATATTAGTTACTTTAGTCTCAGTGTATAATATAGTGATTTGACATTTTTATATCTTATAATGTGCTTATCCCACTAATTCTAGTAATCATCTGTCACTGTGCAAACTTGTCACAATGTTATTTAGCATATTCCCGTCCACCCTTGTCATCCATCCTCTAACCCCTCCTTTCTGGTAACCATCCTTTTGGTCTCTGTCTTCTATTCTTAAGATTCCTTTCTCTCCCTCTCTCTCTTTCCCCTTTCTCTCTTTCCAGCAGCTTCCCAAAACTAATTGAGGTAGATTCATTAAAAATCAGAGTCATGTAGAGCCATTGAACTAAAATTAAAAACATTTCAAAGCAAACTCAATAGAGATTTATAATTATTACTTGCGTAAATGATACTTTTAAGTGAAGCACATTTTTATGTTCTTAAATTAACAAAGTGGCCAGAAATCTTTAATGAGCACACAATTTTTCATATTTTACATGTATTCAGTGGCTTAAAATTTTCCAGAAATGTTTTATGTCTATAAAAGAGAGTAGCCCTTAATGATACTGAGGAATAAAATGTGTGATGCCAATAATAAATATTATGGGAAATCAAAAAGGGAAGAGAAATTTTACTATTGCATTTTGCACAGCCTGTGCTCCTTGTGGCAACATGTGAAGCAATGGAGGAGAGAGTTTCATGTGGTCCTTTGACACTTTAAGGGAAATTCACAGCATGATTCTTTACAGAGCCTGTTTGGTCAGGGGCCACCACACACTCAGTTTTTTTAGCTCCTGCCATTTAGTGGTCAATATGGAACTTATTCTCTGTCTGGTGAAAGAATGAGAAGTGGGCATAATATTTTCAGGGCTTTGGCAGTTTCCTTGAATTTGAGTGAGAACAAACCTAATACCCAAGAATGTGGCTAGTTTTGCTGAGACTGTTGATTCAGTCCAGCGCACTCTGCCAAGACTCTAGTGTGGAGTATTCCTAGAATAGTGAGTCCAGACTGTAGGGCAGAGGACACACACTTTGGGGGACAGGGTTGATGCGTGTAGTGGAACCAGGTTGTGGCAGAGCCTTCAGTGCTGTGCTAAGGGTCACACAGCTTGGTCCTGGAAGCAGCGGGAGCCACTAATGTCGTTAGCAAGGTATTTTAGAAATATTAGTCTGGCAGCAGGATCTTTGCCTTGGTTGAAGAGAAGTGGGTCTGAACGTGTCAGTGAGGATGGGATAAAAAGGCTCTCTGATTGGGTGTCTGTCTTCCTTTTGGCATAAACACTATTGTTTGGAGGCAGTTTCCCCTGACCACCCTCCCCACTTCCGTGTGTTAAATGACCTTTTATATGCTCTGACCACATTCTGTATTTTTCTATTATAGCAGCTTATCACAATTGGATTAAATTCTTCACTGTGTGGTTGTTAAACATCTATCCTTGGGTAGACTGAGCTCTGTGAGGTCAGGAGCCATGAGTGCCTTATTCACTGCTGTCTGTCCAGGACCTGCAAAGTAGTAGATGCTCAGTA